GTAGCTAAAACCATAGCACCTTTTGGATGGTTCGTTGCATTTAACAACAGAGCCTTCCCTCTGGGCTTCTCAATGTGCATTTCTGTAGGGCCCTTCTCAGAGAAGCACCGAACACATCTTCATCCCCATGTGTCCTACCTACCACATGACCGTGGTACACACCACCACAGGGACATGGAAACATGGCCATCCAAACCTGGAAAGTACAAATGAAATAAGGATTTCAAACTCTTCTCAGAGATGCATCCTACTTAGGTAAGTATTCTTGAATAAGTTCACCTTCTGTATTATAGATGGTGTGAGAATCACTCAATGGGCAAGGATTTTCAAAAGGTATTTGTAGATAAATCGTAAAGGACTCTTCAAAACAAACTAGGTCAGTATGCTTTCCCTAGTCTAGCCATTGTCAGGGTTTATTTTATTCAATCCTGAAAAAATAGCAGATTTTGAACATTTTTAAGGCATGTGAAATAGTAGTTAAGAGAAAGCCTTAAACATTAATCCTAACCTGGGTTCGAGTGAAGGATCTATCAACTGACAGCTAAGTGACCCTGAGTGAGTTATTTAACCTCCCCAATCCTCACCCTTCCCTACTGTTGGAATACGTAGAGAGCAGAAGTTGACAGCAAATTTGTCTTCAAAGCCTGTTCTTTTAACCGCCACACTTGCCTGCTCCAGACACTTTTAGCAGCACCTTGCAAGCAGGAACTTACTACATCTCTGCAGGCTGATTGATTTATCTCCAGGAATACCTTCTTCAATCAAAAGCTATGACAGCTACAGCAAAACTCCAAGGCACAAGAGAAACAGCTTTCCTCACTACATTGTACACATGCAAAAGCTTGATAGTTGGGGCTGAAATAAAAGGACATCACCCTCAAATAGTAATGAGACTGATAAATAAACAGATTCTGTTCACAGCACAGAAAACCTGGAAGCCACACTTCAGGATAATGCCTTGTCTCACAGTCAAATATGCCTCCAAAGTAGGAATGTCTACAGTTTTGAAAACTGATATGTGACATTTTAGTTGAGATATGAAATTTTAGTTGACTAATTTGGCAAACCTTTGAAGAGTTCTCCTGACAGGACACTAAGGCTTATGGAACCAGATATTTTTAATTAGAAATGACAGTTATTTGAGATTTTACAACACATCTGAAAGCAGGGGTTTAGATTACCTGGCTTAGAGTTGCCAGATAAGTACTATAAAGAAGAGGATCAGGGCTGGGCATGGTGGCACATGCCTGTAATTCCAGGACTTTGAGAGGATTTCGGGAGAACTGCTTGAGCCCAGGAGTTTGAGACCAGCTTAGACAATACAGTAAGACCTCATGTCTACAAAAAAATAAAAATAAAATAATTTAGCTGGGCATGGTGGTGCATGCCCATAATCTCAGCTACTTGGGAGGCTGAGGGAGAAGGATTGCCTGAGCCCAAGAGGTTAAGGCTGTGGTGAACTGTGATCATACTACTGCACTCCAGCCTGGGTGACAGAGTAAGACCCTGATTCGAAGAAAAACCCAAGGTCAGGCACAGAAATACTGGTTGTTGTGGGAAGTAGAGCCTAGAAATGACAAGCCCTGACTAAAAACATTCTGATTCAAAACATTTTAAAACATTTCTGAAAATCATACTGGGTCCCTGAACCACAAATTTCCAACCAAGCCTCAGAGAAAAGGAAATACTCTCTCCTCCTTCCCTCTACCCAGGATTATCCCATAAGCAAAACCAACAAGGCTGGTGGCTGAGATAGCCTCTGGGAGCCAGGCTAGTTCCATGCTTTCTGTGTCCAGTTAGCCCTTCCTGTCTGGCTTTGAAATGGAGAGCCATGTGCCCCTCTACAGACCCAGGCCTGGTCCCTGCTCCTCTCAGAAGGCAAGGCTCTGCTCTGGTCACACCATGCCATATGCACGCTATTCCCACATTCTCTTCCAACATCAACCTTCACTCAACTTCCATATATGACCTCAAATGTCTTCACTTTTTCTAGACCAAACCAAATTTAATCTACTTTTAATTTTGCTCATTTGTGTGTGTGTGTGTGTGTGTGTGTGTGTGTGTGTGTGTGTGGTGTGTGTGTGTGTGTGTGTGTATTTTAAATTCACGCAAAGAGCACAGAAGTGAGATGAAATAAGACTGCCTTGGAAGGGTAGAGGGACTTCATAGACAGGAGACATGTGTGCGGGGTTTAGAAGGACAAACAGATGCTGCCTAGTGGAAGACATGCAAAGGCCTTCTAGGCAGAGGGACTAGCAAATACAGTGTCTCGAAAGAGTCCTGAAGGCCATGGTAGGCCTGGAGGGATAAGAGCCAGGAGAAGTTGGCTGCAGTCAGAATGAGAAGACCCTTGTTTGCCTCACTGAAGTGACAGGATTTGAGCCCACAGGCTAAAGCTTGTTTTTGTTTTTGTTTTTTTCACTCAAAGAAGTGACAAGTCTGATTTTGGTCAAGGCCACTGAACAAGTCCATGTCTACCTGGAGTTTGTTCTTATCACACAATCCTTCCCTCAATATTGCCATGCCACTTAACAATTTCCCACAGAATCAGGCAGTTATTACTCACAGTTCTTACAAGTATCTTTTTGCTGCCAATGACTAGAGAGTACCTGAGGGCAGGAACCTTTTCTTTTGTTTAACTTCTACATTTTAATAGTGACTCAGGGTGCTGAGCAAGGGCACATTCAATAAATTCCCAAGGTTGACTGATTCAGATTCCTCCAGGGGATGGATTAAGCAAACTAGGTCCCAAACATAAGAGAAGGAAAAAGGAAAAGTCCTATACAAAAGTCACTACAGCCTTCACAATTGTCCATGAGCTACAGGATCCAGGACTTTTAAATTCAAAAGCAACTACCTTTGAGTCTATCTTTCATAAACTTGCACTCCTCTCCCTCTCTGTCCAGCTCTGTTCAGTCACCCAAACTGAGATTCACTCCTACTTCCCTTGAGAATACTGAGCCAGGAGGGATAGGCACAGCCCATCTCTGGTTCTGAGCACACCCCGCTCAGAACCAGAGAGGGAGGGAGGGGGATAGTCAATGCATTTAAATAGTGCATCTGGCCCCGAAGAGAGGGAGTGTGTTTGTGCCTATGTGTAAATGCCAAGTTGCAGCAGGTTACCATAGCAACCCCAACAGGGCGCTGCAGTGGGCAGCTTTGCACAGAGGTGCAGAAAACCCATTCTTTAACATCTGGGCTTTTGCTAACATTGGCTCCTAGCAGGCACATCACTGCCTTAGGCCTGGGCTCTGGGATTCTGAAAAAAAAAAAGAAGTGGAATTTTGAATGCCTGCCAGCCCAACCTTCCTTTTTTATGCACCATACATGTCCCTCTTCATGCACAGTAAACACTGCATGCAGGGCCCAAAACAACCTCTTTAGAAACACGTAATTCCCTATACTTATTCTTACATACTATGATGAACAGACTGTACTTGCATATCAGCATGACTTCATCATGAAATTTACCTCTATTGAATAACCCAGCAATTGTACATTTCAATGAGCAGCATATCCACAATGTTCCCACTCCTAGTCAGCCTTCAGTTTTTATTATGTTATTGGTATTCTTGAATACAAAGTGAATAATTCTATCAAGAGTGTAGGTTGGGTTTAATGAGTTTGACGGAACTGCCCTCCAGGAAATCTAAACCAACTTTTGAAAGGACCAGGTAATTTTTGAAATTGTTTTTTCATAGGGGTTGGGGAATGGGGGTAAACACACCCACTTTCTAATGTTTTCAGTGTGAAGATATCTCTTGTGAAGAAAGAGCAAAAAGGAGATGTTAGAATTCCACATGTAAGGCTGTAACCTACACAGGGCCCTCTGGAAGCCATGTTCCTGCAAAGTGAACTCTAGTTGGTAGGGCACTCAGTAGTGGAACAGCCTCCTGGACATTTCCTTTTTTTCTTTTTTTACCTTGGATCTGGAGACTGACTTGTGACTACTTGTGACCTTTGACTTATCTCTTGGGCAAGAAAAGAATAATATGCAACATCACTAAAGGAATTGCACAGTAAGCGTGTATGCACTTACTGTGCATAGCAGGAGAAGGGAGACGTCTGCACATGGAGAAGTGAGGGACAGTTGATTAACTCAGTGACATGAACCTGTGGTGCTTTCTTTGCTGGATGCTGGAGTAAAACCACAGTACCTCTGTGGCTTAATAGTGAAAAAGAGGGGTGGATCTGACGTGATGTAGGAGTTCTGGTACCTGAGGAGTTTTGTGGCCTAGGAAAATTACACTGGAGGCACCAAACAGAGAGAGGTAAACAAACAAAGGAAGGAAGAGTCTCTTGCCTAGAAAGGCCATTCTGCATGCAGGAACACCCATGCCTAACTCAGGTGTCTCTGGGAACAAACAACAGACTAGAGATGGATGATTTCTTGATCCAAGCAACTGTGTTGTGACTCTGAGATGCGGCTATAGCTGAATGAGGGGGTTGTGACATCTAGGCTTGGAGGTAGAATGAACACCAGGCGTAGAAGAAACTTGAGTGTCTGGAAGGGACAGTGTGAGTAACCTGGTGACAGGTAAAGGGATTTCTGTGGATGAAGACTAGAGATCTGGTCAGTGCAACCTGGCCCGCACACACCTGGCAGGGTGATGCCACGAGACCTGTTTCTAAAGCCCCCAAGAAGTGCTGTGGGTGGGTGCGGGTGTCCAAGGGATGTGAAGCTAAGAGCTGAGCATGTGGCTAGGGGGTGGGGAGGAGGGCTTATGGGAGCTGAGACGGTAGCAAGCAAGAAGTGCTGTGTGGATGCTCTCCTGAATCACAGCTGGGAGGTCAAAGCTGGGAGAGGTTTCAAAGAGACTCAGGCAACCTGTTCCTTTGGGGCGGGGCAGCCAGGGGAGGCTGAGTACCCAGGTTGGTGTTGCGGAGAGGTCAGGTGCACAGAGGCATTCGTCCGCGAGTGGGTGTGGAGAGCCGACCGGAGTGGGGGTGGGGGCGCTGATCCAGCGCCTCGGGCCGCCTCGACCTCCCCCAGGACTCACCCAGCACGAAGTAGGGTAGCTCTGTGTTCTCCAGGTCGTCCACCACAACCATCTCTCCCGGGAAGTCGTTGCGCACAGAGAAGAGCAGCTTGGGCTCCGAGGCCGAAGGGCTGTGCATGATGCTCAGGTCGTTCTCGCGCAGGAAGGGCAGCGCCGACACCGTGATGCTCTTGAGCTTGCACTCCAGCTCCTTGGACGGGTCCGCGTCTCCTGCGGCCGTGGCCAGCACCGCCGCCGGCCCCCAGCAGCAGGCGAGCAGGGCGCAGAGCCGGGCTAAAGCCATCTTGAGCCCCGGCGCCTTCCTCCCAGCGCTGCGAGGGTGTGGGGGGAGTGGG